CTCAGAACTCTTTGAAATGATTTTATTGTTAGGAATTCATAGTAATTTTGATACGACACAACATGCACCAACCAAATTACCATTGACTGTGAGGCTACGGATGATAGAAAAAATATTTAGGCTGCATAATTTTGGTCAGCAAGATCGATCTGATGTAAATATGAAGGCGCAGATTGGTAAAGCAAGTGCAGTGTTCCTACAATTGATAAACTACTGCGAAAGTCACATTACACAATACCAAAGTCAACTGCAGCGAGTGGAAATTCGACGAACCTTGAAAGCTATCATACAAAAGATACAAGTGTTTATTATCAGTTGTCTATGCAGGATAATGCGGATCCGTTGACCAGACATCACCATTAACAATCACCTGTGGGAGAGGACAAACCAGATTTCAGCAGGGGAAGAATTTCGTAAAATTTGTGGTAGGTAGATAGGACATATATTGAGGAAATCACCAAACTGCTCAACAAGACAAGCCCTCACTTGGAATCCTCAATTTCAATGGAAAAGTGGAAGACCAATAAATAAACTGTGTCGAAAATCGTAGGCAGACATGAAAAGAATCAGTAGCGATGGCTTAGGATTATGAAGGAGATCCGAGGTCATAGTTGGTTGGAGAATTCTGATCAGCTGCCTAGGCTTCATTGAGGGTAACAGACGTAAGTAGGTAAACAGTAAATTTTGATCATCATCTACTTAATGACACGATTAACTCTGTTTAGGGTTTCAATCAAAAAATAACATTTAAATGGGAAAGCAATGCATTCACTCACCAGATACCCGTTGCTTTTCTTGAAAGAATAATAACAGTGAAACAAAGAAATTACAGTTTTGAGTCGATAAATGAAAAACATGTTCTTATTTTTGAAGAACAGAAGGTATCTGTGAACAACATTATCGAATTCATAATTCTATTGTGAATTGTGTTTTACCCTACTAAGTATCCGTTTATTCGGAGAATATAGCTGAGTGAAAAGATTTTCAACTGTTATACAGTACAGACTTGGTATATTGGAACGTTGACGAGACAAAATGCTCGATGATGTACACAGATATTATAAGTGAATTATTGAGACATGTATTCACCCTTTCTAAGACGATCTAACATATCTATGATGGTTAAGGGTTCCCGAGACAACAGTAGCCGATTGTTCCATACTTTGAATGACATGGCTAGAAAATTGTTTACACTGGCCTTGGGTGCACCCATTCTATGTGTTCTCTCTAATTCTAATCATTTAAATTCCTCGTGACCCTTGTTTCACATTTTAAATAGATCCCATCAGGTTATGCTTCTATAATGATATCTTTGACCATTAACTTTTGAATGACTGCTAATACATCTACCACATTTAACTACTACTACTACTACTACAATTCAGTCGCTCTCTTTCTGCCCTTACGTGACATGACAACCAGAACTGAATTGTGTTCTTACGTACCAAGTTCAATATACATTAGCAGATTCACTTAACATCACATCAACAAAAAAAGGAAGATTCACTTACGGCTGTTCTGTTAGTGAACATCAAAAGTAATTACAAACAATAAACTGATTAAATCATTTAGTGAATTCGACTATTCCAATACAAAATTTATCATTCGAAAAAGAAAAATTATCTACTCAGAAGTGATTCCCTGTTTCTTCTGTTACTCAAACGTACCATGGCAATCGGTCGATGATGACGATCCCGATTGACATGAACGAATGAAAATCAGTGGAATTAGAGAATAGATCAAAAGCGACATTACTGATGTTCAGAGCAGCAAATCCGGCTTTATTTATCAATATATATATGTAAATGTGTATATTTATATACACCCTGTTATTGGTAATTTAAGTGTTGACAGATATATGAACAGTTTTATTGTATATTCCTGACAATTAAATGTGTACATTTTATGTGGTTGTATACAACGCTGACAAAAGGTGTATCCCAATAATTTACGAGACCTTATTGATTATTAGTATGCTATTGATCGATGACAGTATAAAATGACAGAGAGATTTATTACAAAATAGTGATTGTTATTGAATTTTATGATAATTCATTAAAGCACTTTAACTGCGCCTGGAGCCCCTTCGGAGGCTACTGCTGCTCCCAGAAGGATTGGGCATGGTGTTAGCTACTCTATCCCGTAGAAAACTCATTTGACTAATAAGACGATAACTAGAAAGGTCGATTCAAACTATATCATCCCAATAAAGTTCTTTTATTTGATTCGAGTGCTTTGAAGAATAATATCTAGTGTGCAGTGCTTACTTTTTGGTACACGTATTCCCTATGTTCACTTTCGATTTTCATATTATAATAGAATTGGAAGAAGGGATGGATAGTGGCTGACATTTGAATCAAATGACGTGAGATTCTCTCTGTTTGTGACTCGTCTGTAACTGGACGTACTTGACTTATCTCACACTGGACGTTCACATCGGAATTCGGACCAACTACTATCTACTTCAAAAGCTATCGCAGTATCCACTTAGCTATTGAGCCTACGTAATTGCCACTCAACTATGCAATGAGTATGCGACCTAATTCTATTTGAAATGATTCGTATTAACCCGTTATCAATAGTTTGACTGAAATCTGATTAGTCCAAAGCTAACTACTATACCAGCTATCTATAAACTTGTCTTATAATAAGTCTATAGAAGTGATCCTCATAGGATGCCAAAATATCAACCAAGACTGATTAAATTTTTCGTTCAAAAATATACCTGCAAACTCCTTTTGTGACCTATGTTACACAGGTTCATAGAGAATTCGCTAACGAATACTGTATTTATGTAAAACCAATCATCACATTTGAAAAACAGGATGCGCTGAAAGCTTCAGACTGTTACATTCCGATGAAAAATAGACATAATTATTTCGCCTAGGTTACAATTAATCAATCCAATGACAGTAGTTTCGATGTCGATTTCTACAAATCGATAAAAAATTCTTTAACTTACTGGTTTGAATTATTTTTTCTCGGGTTAGCATGCTAATCAGCTAAGTCGTTTTCTACGGGATTGGAGAAGTTGACCTCATCCTTGAACCTCCTCCTTCATCCAGGAGTAGGATTGACAGTAAACCCAGAGGGGCTGCGGGCGGAGTAAAAGACATCTCTAAACTGTACTTAAATTGAAGATGATTCACATGCTAAAAGCCTGAACAAACTCCTCACATCAGTAATAACCCTACATTGAATGGTTTAACAAAAGTAGGAAAATTTGAACGATAGATTTTAGAATCATGCTACATGTTACATAATTCCAAGATAACGGGCTTGTGAAGGTTGTCAAGTTACACATTTGAAATCATGAATCAATCAATGTTAGACCACTGTTAGAAATCTGGAAACACTGGACGGTTGCCGTTTCATCCTGGTATGAGGCTACTCATCAGTGGCAGTGTGGATCCACGACCCCTGCCACCCGCCGGATTTAGGCCCAGGATCCTCGCTAAACCTCCGGACCACTGAGTATGAAATGGTGTTTATGTCTAACAACGATCGATTATTGGAGTTGCGCAACCTCATACACTGTTTTCGGTAGTTACTATCTAAACACGAACAGGTTGAACTTCCTTAGAACACCGTTTGATACCGGCTCAGTGGTCCGGAGGTTAAGCATTCGCGCGCGAAACCGGATCTCGTGAGTTCAAACCCTGTGGGTGACAGGAGTCGTGGATGCGCACTGTCATTGATGAGCAGTCCCATACCAGGATGAAACGGCAACCGTCCAGTGTTTCCAGAATTCTAATGGTGGTCTAACTATGATCAATTCATGATTTCAAATGTGCAACTTAACAACCTTCACAAGCCCGTAATCTTGAAATTATTTAACATGTAGATTAGTTATAAAATCTCTCGTTCGAATTCATCTTGTATTGTTAAACCATTCAATGAGTTGTGTACTCATTGCACAGGTGAGTGGTTATCTAGGCTCATTAGCTAAATGGTATTTGAAGCGATCAGCACTTTGTTCGAGTTCTGTTGTTAGTCATCTACTATGAGATATGTCAAGCATATCTAATTGCAGACGAGTTACAAATAGGGAGAAGCGCATGTCATTGATTTCACTGTCAGCCGATATCCATCTTTTCTGCTAATTCCATTATTGTCAGCGATGTCAATTCCCTAAAACTCGCTTGATAAATATCTTCAATTTGGATTTATTTCATGAACCGATCAGTTGACCTTGAGATCACATTTCCCATCAATATAATACTTGGCTGTGATTGGTCACTGTGTCATTTTAGTATGCTATTTTTATGACTGTTCCAAGGACGTCTCTATGGAGTATAAATAAATGAAATTTCAGTGCTTGGATTCATTGTGTGTGCTTGCTGGATGTTTGTAGAATACACTTTCGACACCATATCACGACTTCTTGCTGGTACAATTGTGGCAATCGGATCACAGTAGCCCACCTGGACGCTGGTTCATTATTTTGATCTCGTTATAAGACTAAGGTGAACCTGTAAAAGGTTTAATCGTACCTACACACGAGCATAACAATTATGAAATGAAAATCGAAAGTTTACATAAGGAACATATTTGCTAAAAATTAAGCATTACACACTGGATATAGTTCTTCACAACATTCGAATAAAATCAATGATAGGGTAGCTAACCCGACGCTCAACCCTTCTAGGATCGGCAGTTGCCCCAGAGGTGCTCCAAGCAAAGTTGAACTGCTTTAATGAATTATCGCAAAATTCAATTACAGTCACTGTTTTCTAATAAATCTCTCTGTCATTTTATACAGTCAACGATTAATATCATACTAATAATCAATAAAGTTTAGTAAATTATTGGGATACACCTTTTGTCAGTAATGAATACAACCACATAAGATATATACATACTGGTTTGTTAGAAGTACACAATAAAACAGTTCATATATCTGTCAGCACTTAAGATAAAAATAACTGGGTGTATATATATATATATATATATATATATATATATATATATATATATATATATATATATATATATATATATTAATAAATAAAGCCGAATTTACTGCTCTGAATATCAGTAATGTCGCTTTTGATCTATTCTCTAATTCCACTGATTTTCATTCGTTCATGTCAATCGGGATCGTCATCATCGTCATCATCATCATCAACACCCGATTGTCCTGGTAGGTTTGAGTAACAGAAGAAAAAGGGAATCACTTCTGAGTAGATAATGTTTCTTTTTCGAATGATAAATTTTGTATTGGAATAGTTGAATTCACTAAATGATTAAATCAGTTTAATTCTTTGAAATGACTTTTGATGTTCACTAACAGAACAGCCGTAAGTGAATCTTATTTTTTTTGTTGATATGATGTTTAGTCAGTTACCGAATGTACGTTGAACTTGATACGCACGTACGTACATCAGTTCAAGTTGTCATGCAACGTTAGCATAGAGAGAGAGAGATTGAATTGTCAGTTAAAATCCCATAGCAGTACAGGTAGTAGAACTATTAGCGGTAATCGAAAAGGTTAGAGATTGAATATATCATTCCAGTATTGTAACCCGATGGGATCTACTTTAAACGCGAAACAAGGGTCACGAGGAATTCAAAAGATTACAGTTTCAGAGAACACATAGAATGGATGCACCCAAGTCCAGTGTAAACAATCTTCAGCCATGTCATTCAAAGTCTTGAACGATCAGTTACTATTTTCCCAAGAACTTCAACTATCATGGATATGTTAGATCGTCACAGAAAGGGTAGATATATTTATTCATAATCAATAAGCCGAAATGCTCACCTAATAAAGTCTTTCTAGTCAAGCATTTTGTCTCGTGAGAGTTCCAATATACAAAGACTTTACTGTATTACAACTGACAATCTTTTCACCCAACTATATTCTCCGATAAATCGGATATTTTGAAGGAAAATACAATAGGCAAAAGAGAGTTATCAGTTAGATAGTGTTGCTCATGTGTATTTTTATTCAAAAATAAGATCATTTTTTGATTTATCGACTCAAAAGTGTAATTTCTTTGTTTCACTATTATTATTATTTCAAGAAAAGTAACAGGTTTCTGGTGAGTGAATACATTGCTTTCCCATTTAAATGTTATTTTTTGATTGAAACATAAAACAGAGTTAATTGTGTCTTTAATAACATATTGATCGAAACATACTATTTAATTACTTACGTCTGTTACTCTCAATGGAACATCGGCCACTGATCAGCATTCTTAAAACAACACTGATCTCGGATCTCCTTTGTAGTTAATAACATTTACTATTCATTCTTTTCATCTCTGCTCACGATTCTCGGCACAGTGAATTTCGTGGTCTTCCACTTTTCCATTGACATTGAGGATTCTAAGTGAAGGCTTGTTTTATCGAGCAGTTTGGTGATTTCCTCAATGTATGTCCTATTCACCTACCAATTTCTCCCACGGATGGAATCTGGTTTGTCCCCTACCACATTAGATTGTTAATGGTGATGTCCGGTCAACGGATCCTTACTACCTTGCATAGACAATTGATGATAAACACTTGTATCGAGTTTATGATAGCTTTCAATGTTCATCGAATTTCCACTCCATACAGTAGAAATGTCTTGACATTTCAATTGAAATTTATGACTTGGGTGTTTGTTGAGATTTGTTTTGTTTGCTTTGCCAATCTGTGCGTTCACATCTGCATCAGATCGACCTTGTTGACCAAAATTATGCTGCTGCAAGATTTTATCCATCATCCACAGTGTAATATAATTGATGCATGTTGTGTTGTATCAAAATGATTAAGAAAATATACGAGTCAAAGAATTCCTAACAACGAGTCCCGACTGTATTTGTTTTCATTGAAAATGTTCATGTTTCAAACCTTATATAGTAGAAGTATTGTTTAAACTTTGCGCATATTGTAGGCGGATTGTTAAAGTGCTATCGTGAGTTAATAAAACGAAATTTAATTCAGTGAAATGATCATTTCTAATATTCATAAATTGATTATTTATCGCTAGAACTCATCTTCATTCTTAGAAACGTTTGAATAAATTATGGATAGAAAGTCACTCAAATTAAAAATTGTTCGTTGAATATTGAGTCACCGTATAGACGATCAATCAATTCTTACAATTTTACTCTTTTAATGGGATACATATATATTCGCATCTCATTTTCTTCGATTTGAAGCTAAGTATTATATAATCATCACGAAGTTATTATGTTTATACCACTGTTGGAAACCTGGAAGTACTGACAACCGTTTCGTTCTAGCACAGCACTCTTCGTGAGTGACTAGATTTATAAAGAAATCCTCGGTGCTCTAGTGATGGTCCTTGAGCCTGGATGGTGTAGGCAATAACCACTGAATACCTACAATGCTTAGATTGATGGAAGTCAGACATTTGATGCCAGCTCATTGGTCTGTCAGTTAAAAGTTGACGCGCTAGACCGAAGGTGTTAGGTTTAATTCTTTTGTGCAAACGTTGTGGATGCGCACTTCTGAAAGGTTTCACATTCGGATAAAACGACTTTCCAATGCTTGTGTATTTCAACTGGCGTTCGAAAATCATCGATTCATGATTGTAAGAGAAAACACTAATCTCCAAAACACTCCTCTTGAAAATCAGTATTTCACTTTAATTATTTTGTCTTTTAATAACACTGACAACTACTCTTCAACAATTACATTTAACATGCTTTTCACAAGATTAAGAATATGACATTGGGTTACTGAAGTCTCTGCTTGGAATCCCTCGGTGTGTACTGCTGCTGCTCCAAATACCGGATAAAGGAGCAGGTTTTGGCTCGGGTTTATTGACCGCTTCTCGTAGAAAAACGCACACCAGAAAATTTATTTCAAACTATTTTAACTCTATTCTGAGAGTTTGAAAGTTTTCATCTAGAAATGTTATAATGTCTTTTGATGAAATCCGAGTTTCTTCGGAAATCACAAGGCCATTCTGGCCAAGGACAGAGTAGTTTGGAGAATGCTGATCGTCGGCCTATGATCCATTGACGGTAACAGGCGTAAGTAAGTGAGTAAGTAAGTAAGTAAGTAAGTAAAAAAGTAAGTAAGTAAGTAAGTTACTTATACCTGAAAAATGAAATTTTTGAGGAAATATTGGCTCGAATTTTGTATAATTAATTTGCGTTATATTGTCTTGATTTAATTACGCTAGAGTTCTTATCAGCTTCTTATGGTAAGTTGAGTTTTCAATATTTCTCTCATTCTATGCAACAAATTAACATTTGACAGTGTCAAAATTTATTATTCGTTTTGAGTTCAGCAAACTATCATTTATGTACTGACGATTAGTGCATTTTTAATGGCAAGTGAAAGTGATTTTGGTTTCAAATTACTGGCATAGTCTTATTTGTGACACTTTAGTTAAAACAAAATATGGTTGTTATTTTGATATGACTGATTGTAACTCTATTGACTGTAAGATATTAGCAGAAATCGATCAGGAACCTGACAAAACTGAACAGTTATGAATGGATTTATATTAATTGTAGACCATTTGAAATGTTAAAGCCTTTTTTAACATTTGTCTTTTTTAAAACAAATACTTTTTACAGCTCTTTAGATGGTATATGGTAAGAAACGTAAATTTGTCTCAATAACCACCTAATTACACGTATATCCGGTTTCAGTGTTTATATTTTGAAAGAGGAATATTCGATAACCCTGATAACTGACTAATCACTTAGTAAGCTTTACGTGTGTTTCATCAAACAAGAATGTCAAATGTACACCTCGTGTTGAACAAACGTATTATCTTATAAAGCGATTGTTGCTGCTGAGTCATCTACAATTCAGTCTGATAATAGTCTTTTTGTCACATGTTCATCGTGCTCATCTGACAGTTCATATCAGCTAACACATAGCTAAGACAATGGGTGACGTTGCACAATAACTTAAGTTGATTAAAGGTATACGCTAACACCAATTAGATTGCAGCTCTGTGGTCTTGTTAAGCGCTGGCACACGAGACCGAAGTTCCTTGGTTTAATTCAGAGAATATGAATACGCATAGCTGCTGACCAGTACCGTCATTGTCTGCAACTTTTTTTCATTTCAGGAATACAATAAGCAGTATAAAACATCAATATGGTAATCTGACGGCTAAAGAATAAAAATCCATGATTATTTCTTTAATAATCAAAACTGTTTGTACCTTGGTATGCACTGATCTTTCTGTTGCGTAATCAGTAAATAATCCAGTGTACGTGAAAAACAGTAGACCAGATAACGATGTGTAATCTCTGTGCATACATTGTCGTTTAAATATTGTATTTTTTCTAGTAAATTTAATACATATCTATATATTCAGTATTGAATAAAATCTTGAGTAAAATATTACCTACATCTTTGTAAATATTGTAATTTTTTAAAAATAATACCGGTGTTCACAGGATCAGGATTAATATGTAATTAAAGGAACCACTGTTTACGAAAAAAGTGAATAGTTTAAATCACCTAAACTAAATACTACCAATCACATGCCGAGCTTTGGCGTTTAGTCAGAAGACCGAAATTCATAGTTTCTAATCGTATGAGTAGCAGTAGTCTTAGATGTACATTGCCACTGATGAATCCCGTACCAGAACAAAACAGCGGCCGTTCAGTACTTCTTGGTTTCTGAAGGTGGTCTGAGTCTATAATGAAAAACTGCTAATATTAAAAAAAGGTCTAGAATTTTTGTGTTACATCAAAATGCCATTACCTTAAACCGAAATTTCAATGATGTAATGGTTATTATATGTCATTGTTTAAGAAAGAAAACTTAATAAATGTGAATGGTCAGATAAATCCTTCAGAAACCGGTTTCTCTTATTTATAAACTGATGAGATGGTTATTCTGTTTTGAAACATGGCATCAATGTAATCTACAAATGCAGATTAATATAAATTAATCTATTTCACTGTTCAAGATTACTTACTTACTCCTGTTTCCCCCAATGAAACATAGACTGCCGATCAGAATTCTGCGGCCTACCCTGTCCTGGGGTTTTCTAACTGGTGTTCATTTTTCTTATGTCTGTCTCCATTCCTCGGTGTAATGTGTTCTTTAGTCTTCCTCTCCTCCTTTGACCTTGATAACTCAAACTGTGGGCTTGTCTTATGACGCAGTTGTGTGCTTTCCTCAATGTGTGTTCTGTCCACCAACCACAGCGCTTCTTCCTGATTTCCTCCTCCACTGAAATCTGGTTTGTTCTCTCCCACAGTACGTTGTTGCTGATCATGTCTGGCCAACGAATCAGAAGTATTTTGCGTTAGACACCTGAAATTAAGTACTTGTCTCTTCTGCATATTGGCTTTCGTAGTTCTCCACGTTTCCGTCCCGTATAGTAAGACTGTGTTGACATTTGTATTGAAAATTATGACTTGGGTGTTGGTCGATAATTGTATTGAGTTGCAGATGTTCTTCAGATGTAGAAAGGTTGCCCTGTTAAACAAACAAATCAATATGTAGTTACACTTCACTGTTTTTTTTCATTCTGTTGTACACTGTGAACAAAATCTATTGATTTAAACAAAACTTATGTATTGTCTATCTGTATGGTATGTGATTTCTTTAGATGGTGATACACTTAACAATAGGTTTGAGAAATTGATAGCAAATTACTTTTCATCTAATTTCTAAGGTACTTGCTTTGTTTGTACTTAAAATTTGATGATGATGATGTTCAATGTTTCTAAGTTAAATATCTAAATTGAAAATTGAATACAATTCACCATTGAAAATCAACCGATGCAGTATACTCTTACTAAACTTCTCTTGCATTTATCAATGTTCAATGAACATGTGCGAATAAACGCCACATTGTCACGTTATCTAAAAGTAAAGTGGTCACGTTTCGTTCATTTAATCGTAAATTTGTAAATTTAAGAGAATAATTTTTACTATCAAAGTGATCGGAGGTGGAACTTTTGCTACGTTGAACTCTTTCTTTCATCATGAATGACTTTACTACACTTCACACATCCGTAACAGGATGAAGTAATATTTCTACAATAGAAAATGTTCCATTCTTGATGTCTTTCTGTAAGTAGACATTGAGTAAGAAATCTGAAAGTAATCGACAGCCGTTTCGTCTTAGTAAGGTGACTCTACAGCAGTGACTAACTTCTTGAGGGAATTCTCGTAGTTTTAGTGAGAAGCCGTGGTTAGTGGGTCTCAAACCTGTCAGGTGTAGGCACTAGCTACCAAAATGAAAGTTTTTGGGAGAAAATAATGATCGTTCCAATTTGTTGTTGATCGATTCTAAGGTACGACATCACAACGGAACCTGACAGTAGAGTTTATCCCTAGCTTAAAATAAAACTTTGTTAATTTCAAAGTTTTAAATGAATTCTGAATATTATAAAAAATCCTAAATGAACGATTTTAATTGAAAATTAGAATTAAAAAGTTGTAATTCTGTTGTGTCAAACAGTTGTACAATTATTATCTCAGTTGACATCATGAATAGTTAGTACTACAAATCTCCAATGGTAGATCATTTCCACTAAGTCAGAGTAAAGTGCACGGAACAATTTATCTCTTCTAACAGTTCAGACTATTCGATTTACGTACAATGAAGTTATAAAACTTGCTATTCAATAAGTATACACATGAATCGTCGATTTCATGAGGATCAGTGAAATTATCATGTGCATACAGTCATACATACATTTTCACTCAATATCACACTTCAAATATTAGTGAATTTTAAAGTTGGTTCCTTAAAACTATGAATTTTGAGTGAAATAGATATAAGTCCAAAAGATGGCGTCTCATTTCTCAACTGCTCCTGATGAAGTCGTTCAACGGAGCTCAAGCTGAGAACCCTGGAATCCCTCAGTGATGGAATATTGAAATATGTACAAGTTAACAAAAAGCAACAGCTCAGATAAAAATGTGTACATATTTTTTCTGTCAAAAACTGTTTCATTCAATCGATTACACAATGACACGTTCCGTCTAAAAGTATGATCATCAATTAGACAGAATTGTTTATGTGTTTTAATGTAGACCTGTTGGTACGGATGTTTACTATTCCTAGGTTAAATCTCTAAATTGAACATTGAATCCCATTCACCATTGAAAGTCAGTCACTAATGTTTACTTTTACTGATCAATGTTCAATTAACAAGCGAGGATAAACTCCACAATTGTCGCATCACATTTAAAAGTATTGTAGTCATTAAAAATAACGATCATATTTTAGTTTATTTACTCACAAATCTGTAAACAGTGGATCGTCCAGACTAAAAGCTTTGATAATAAATGAGACAGAACTGTTGATGTGTATTATTTGTATTTCAAAATAAAATAACTTTGCTGTTACACATGCACGTAAACACGTTATTTCATATGCTTGAACTATTACAAGTTTACTTTAGTTGGAAAATAAGAGTGAGGATCAAGGATCCAGCGACTACTCTAATCCGAGCGTCCCAAACCTCCACTGAGTAAAAGAAGAACATCTGATATGAAGTAGAATATGTATTCTACAAGCATACAAAAAGTACGAGGTCCGAGTCCAGAAGAAGACAAGGATCTTGGACTAAGGATCCGGGTACGGGTCATAAAACGTTACAGATAATCCGTATTTATACAGTTAAGTCGAATAGGAAACAACATTTGATAGTTAGGACGACCATAATATTGACCAGTAGGAATTGACCAGTGAAATGAGACTTACAAAAATAATTCTATCAGGATTTTTCGATAAATATCCAAACATTTACTGTGAATATTATTGAGTACATTGAAATGAATAAAATACAAATTGAACAGTATGATAACCGATATGTTACACATAAAATGTATTGTAAATTGTACAATGTAAATGATGATTGGATCTTTCTTGGGTACATCACTCACCTAGCCCGTCATCTCAAAATCGATCAAGAAACTCAGCCTCGTCCATTGCAAAACATCTAATGATGAGTGGTCATCAAATTGACCCAAAATCAGCCTTTAGAGTTGTGACATGTCATCAAAACCCATACACACTGAAACTACTTGAAGCTATCTTGATTGGTCGGAAAAGTCCAACTTTATGTGTTCAAAAACAACTGTATGTTGACCTTTGTTTACCATGGTTCTAATGAGTGAATGTCATGTTAAATAAGAAATTTTGACCTTATTTTCAAAACTGTATTTACACACAAATAACATGTTGCTTGTATGTGACTGACGAGAAAGCATGAAATGGTACTATCTCACAAAATATGTCTTCTCATTTCTCTATTCAAATGGATCTTTCTGTCAACTAACCTCAGTAAATTTTATAAGCAGTGAAAGTAAATGCACATTCTGTTTACCTTCACATCAAAATATCTAAGAAATAATACTGATGTGGGATAAAATATATCACATTTCCGACAAACTTACTGCATTTGGTATTCTCGTCGATTGTTATGATTTAAATGTTGTATTCAAACTAGTCGAGATGGATTTCGAATTAATACTGGCTAAATATAACAATGTTTATTGAATCTCTAAACTATTAAGCCAACACTGATTAGTTTTTCAATATTGAATGACTAGTTTTCTATTGAGTAAGGTAGGTAGTTATTGTGCATAGGTCGCTGACCAGCTTTCTTCAACTTACTCTATCCTGCGCCCTCTATTTTCCAGTTCTGACTAATCGCAACTCATTCTTTTGACGTCTACTTCCAGTTTACGGAGGAATATGTTCCTTGATCTACCTTTTCTACATTTGGCTCTGAGGATTACAGGTTAGGACAATTTACACAATGTATCTTATATCTACGTAAAGCGCTTACACTTAATTACTACCTCAACTAAAACCTGGCTTCTCATCTACCGATGGTGTCTAGCCAACAGATCGAACGCTCATATGTATCTTATGAATGATGGCTTTCATAAATTTCCAAGACTTTGCGGCCCATACAATGGAACTGTCATGACATTAAATTAGGAATATAGTGTTTATTGACAGTTTTTTTCGAGTTCCAGATGTTCTTCAATTGTAGAAATACTGCCCCCGACTTGACAATCCTTGTCTTCATATCTGATTCAGATCTACTCTGTTTATCGATGATACTGCCCGAGTATGTAAAGGTTTACACGTCACAGAGCATCACTAAAAGAAACGAGCCGTTGAACACCTATAATCCGATCAACTGCGTCTTTGATGACATCATTTAGCGGTCAAAAGCCATGACATTTCTTCGTTTATATCAATACACACGGACAACAATGAACATACTTTCGATTGGAATAATCTTGAAATACTGGATGGAGGGACTGCAAAGAACATGAGAGAACTTGTAGACATTTGGTTTACTCTAGTCAATCAGCACTCAACAAACACATTGATATTGATCCGACTTACCAATCAATTAGAAAAA